AAGATATAATCATGCAGGGTGTGTGCTGGGACTCACAATACATGACTAAAGTACCTGTGGCTGGAATTAAGTAGAAAGTCCAGGGTGGGGTAAAAAGTAAGTCTATGATGCCCATCAGCTCTAGACTTTTCAAGCCTAGAGAACAGCTTGTTTTTGTCCTTTAGTTTCCAAAAGACTGATTTCAAGTCTGTGGAGATGCAAGATTCAAAAGCTAGTAGCAACTTCTTTATGAAGTTCCTGAATACCCCAAATGAAGTTAGATGCTCACTTTTTACTCCCTCAGATTTTCTGTATGTACCTCTGCTATAGCACAATGCTAGACTGCAATAGGTTTGCCAACTACAATAGGCAGACTTTGAGTCTCTCAAGGGTAGGGATCTTGCTCGACTTATATTCATATTCCCAGTGCCTTGTACTTAGTAGGCCTTTAATAATTAAATAACTTAATAATCATGTGGGTGAATGATTGGGGTTTCACATCAGCTTGTTACAGCTTCTGGATCCAGGGTAAATGGCTCCAGACTTTGCTAGACATCTGAGGAGAGCTCTTTCTCTTCTCTGGGTGTTTGAATGGGTTCCAGATGTAGCACATGACATCTGATATTTTATAAGGCATTTGTAACTCTCCAAAGGTAGGTATCACAGGCTCAACAGTGTCTCCTTCTTCCAAAGTCTTGCTCACAAAGAGCCTCAGATTGTAATATATTTGGAAACTCTCTCTTTGCAGATAGAATAAGCTAAGAACGACATCACCCTTGATTTACAGTGGGCCCTAAACCCAAAGATAACACGTTTCCTTACAAGATGAGAGGCAATGGGAAAATGCAGGAAGTGATCATGTGAAGAAGGCAGCAGAGGTAAGAGGGGGAGCTAGCCATCAGCTATAGCCAAAGAACATCAAGGACTTCTGGGAACCACTGAAGCCAAGACAGGCAAAGGAACACTTCTCTGCAACATTTAGAGAGAATTTTGCCTTCAGACTTCTGCCTCCAGAACTGTGAAACGATGAATTTCTGTTGTTTTTAGATACCAACTGGGTGATTTTTTATGGCAGCACCAGGAGAATAAAACAACGGACACTAGTAAAGAGTAAAGTCTTCTCTAGGTCTTAGCTCAGTCATATGTCTGCTGGTGGAAGAATAGTCAAAGCCAAGGAAAATGCACCAAGCCAGAATGCAATTCCACTGTGAGCTCAGTGTCAGAGGGGTTAGCTGCCACAGATTAAATACCACAAAGCTGGTTGTTCACTTAAAGGGGTATCAAAAAGTGATCTATTTGGCAAACGTGTTGCTACTAACTTTTGCAGCTTGGGTCTCCATAGCCCTGAAATCAGTATCTATTTATGGAAAACTGTTAGGTTGACCAAAAGATATGCAATTTTATGCAAGGTAAAATTTAAGCAAGATATCGCGCCAAGTGTAGGGTGCTATTAAAGAGAAGAGACTAAAGAAAAGTAAAAGCTTTTTGAATGGGAGCAGTTAATCTGAGAGTTTCTATTCCTTAAACTTAAATGTATCACACCATTCTTGGGTGTGGAACAGCCAGAAACAAAAGGAAATTCCACATTATAACAGGGACCAGAAAGCAGAAAGGGTGTGGCTTTCTGAGAGAGGTTCCCTGGCATTTTGTTAGGTGTGCTGAGGGGAGCACTTGAATAGTGAAAAGCATTTCTGTTTGATCAATCTGATTTCATAAAAGATGTAAGCTTGTTCCTCTTCGTCTCTCCACTGCAGTGACTTAAATGTTTGGCTATATAACAAAATTTCTTATCAAGGAATTTTAGGAATATTGTATGGAGAAAAAAAACATTTTAAATATTTTAAACTATTTTTCTATTTGAAAACAAACATGACTTTGCATTCCTCTATTAAGTTTGTGTCCAAGAAACTATGGCATCAGAACCCACCACATCTTGGGATTTCACGAATATCAGCATTAGAGTTAGATGAACTCCTCCTCCCCAAACACATTCCAGCTTGAAAGCAAAAAGTGTAAAGATAGTTTTTCTACCGCTTTCTCTTTCTTCCATTGAGTCATTTAACTCAAATGTGGGGCTTCTCCAGAACCTGCTCTCGGTCACCCCCGTCTCCTCAAGCTGCACCTTCTTTCGTGGCTTCTATCCTTCGTGGCTTCTATCCTTTCTGATATGAACCATGGACAGTTGCACAGCCCCCCTCCCCCCGCCCAAGTGTGTTGAGTGATTTTTTTCCAAAATCTTTACGAGACACAGCCATCATCAGTCTTTCTGGTTACTCCCCAACCCTTACCCCACAGGGAAACACCCACATTGTAAATGGCCCTGGCATGGTCTTCCCTTCTTGAAAGAGAGCTATCATCCTCGTCTACTTTGCTGGCCTGTCTAGAGGTCATTGGCAAACTTCTTGACCTCTGGTTTCATAGTGGGCTGATGGGTTAGGTGGCCTAGGAATTCCAGTTCTTTCTCCTCAGATTTAGGTCCCTTGATTCTGAGGTTGGGATTAAAGGGCTTTCGCCTCATTATTTTTTTGTCCTTTTAGTTGGGAGCTAATGATGATCTATCCCCACTATGTTTGCACCCTCCCTCCATTCTGGTCCCACTAATCTAGCCTGTTGTGTCTTTCTTATAAGGCCCTTGCAAACATGCACCTGTGGCTTGAGCCTTGCATGCCTATCTTGACTGAGCAATCCACTGTAGAGTGCCATCACTCATCAGGGACTGAGCCTGATCTTTGGAAGGGTCTGGGACAAAAAAAAATGACCTTTAAGATCACAATTATTATTCATCCAGACTTTCAACCATCATCTAACTCACTAATAATAGGTGATCCTGATAGATGACAGTGGGGAGAAAACTTGGGGTCTTTGTGTTGTTTCCTTTGTGCAAGAGGAGAGATTCATTATGGGTATTTGAGAAGGTTTTACAGGTATACTTCTCCCCATAGACTCATGATGTCACTCAAATAATGTGATTAATCTTAATTTTCCAAACTTATTAGACTAGGAGATTAACACCCTACATGTGTCTGTAAGGGACTTTCAAGAGATTATCAGATCATGAGGGTGTGACCTAATAAATGGTTTAACCCATTGATGAATTTAAATGGGAACAATCAGGAGGCAGGGGGACTGTGCATGGTGGGGCCTGGTTGGAGGAAGTAGATTGCTTCGGGTAAGCCTTTGAAAGGCCAGATCTCAGCCTCGGATCCTTCCTGCCACCTGTCTACTTCTCCTGGCTGCTGTGAGACAAGCAGCTTCCCTTGGCTATACCCTACAGTCCATGATGTGCCTTACCACATCCCACAAACAAGAGAGCCAGCTGACCAGGGACTGAAAGCTTGGGACTGTGAGCCAGAATACATCTTTCTCCCTTACATTGTTTTTATAAGATATTTTGTCACAGTGATGAAATGTTTGACTTACACAAATGAACAAGTGAGGAAGAAGAGTTACTTACTCCTATACCTTCTCTGGGTAGGATTACCACTTGTGCATCCTGGTAATAAACAAACTGGGGGTAGGGGGTAGCAAATATAGAGGAAGTTGTCCCTCATTCTCCGTCTTCCTTCCCAGGCCTCCGACACTGTGGCAGTGAAGGTGCAGAACTGTGACTGGCAAGATGGATAATGTGGGTCGCAATAGCACTAGAATACCTACTACTGACTGTGGCTGTGCCCCTTTGCTGCTAGGTGATCTAAGTTGCACATCCCAAGGCATCTATATTCTTTGGTTGTAGAAAAGAGCAGAGAAGTGGTTTTGTTAAAGAAAGTCACAAATCGTATAGAAAGATCAAATATTCATGCCCTCCTATCTCACAGAGGCCCGGTCTCAGGAACACATATCTTTTCAGGATACAAATGACTGAACAGACACAGGAAATGTGACAACTGTGAAGCGCCATGCAAGATTTCATTATGTTACTGCTTTGAAGAAGGGCTATTTTGTCTGTGGCTGATCTGAGTTCTTTAAATGTGTACCCCATATTGAAGCATGTTGTGCCCCTTTTGAAGGTGGTGCCAGCTGCTGTGTGAGGTTCATAAGTGACCATGGTGCACAGGCTTGTCTGTGGCAGGATTTAGAAGAAGAGACATAGCCTATGGACAGCACTGTAGTGAGTGAGGAGACCCCTGCAGAGACTGGAGAAGGCTTTGAGTAGGCAGCCTGGTGGAAGCTAGTTTCAACCCAAGACAATATAGACGAGTTGGGGAAGCGGTATAAAGGTGTGACATGGACGAGGGTAAATCTGATAATGAACCTTCAACTTTAATGTATCGAATAGAAGCTGCAGGCCCAAAGCCAGAGCGCACAGAGGCCTACAGGCAGCAAAATGGTACTCAAAAGAAGGTGGAATCCATAAACATCATCAAAATGCCAGTAAGTACTCCTTAAGTACTTTGAAGTTTAAAAATGAATTCCTAACTTGGCTTATATCTTATTTTTATTTATAAGTGAGTATAGATACATTTTGACTCAGTATTGTAAATGAAAAAAAGTGTGATATGATAGAAAATCCATAGGAAGTAAACTCCGTAAGACAGCCTCCCTCCCTCCCTCCCCCCTCCCTTTCTTTCTTCTTGTCCTCCCTTCCTATCTATTTCCCTCCCTCTTTCCCATTTCTTCCCTGTCCTTCCCTTTCTCCTTCCCTCCCTCCACCCCAGGGGAAGAACACAGGGCCTTGTAAGCAAATGCTCTACCACTCGACCTACTTCCCCAGCCCAATCCTTTTTTCTTAATTTTTATGCCTAAACTAGGTAGAATTTTTGCTCTCATACCACAGAAAATCAAGAGTTACTAATCTCCCAGGGAGAAAGTAGGAGGAATTAAGCTTCAGGTATAAGGTTCGCCCAGGAACATGGGCTCCCTAACTGATTGGCACATCCAAATGCCCCAATCAACCACTGAGTCACCCTCCCTGCTGGCGTTAAGTAGAGTCTACTTAGCCTGGAAAGCACGGAGCCCAAGGAGTACTGCCCCAGAGAGGTCTGCCCTTCACCACCCTGGCCTCAAGCAGAGCTAGGAGCTACCTTTGTTGTCATGCCAAACCCTCAGCTTGCAGAGATGGCCCAGGCTCAGCATGTCAGAGAAGTTGAATGTGTCCATGTTATTCCGCTCAAACTTGTTCCAGTTGGCTGACTGCTTCAGGGCCAGGGTCCCACTGTCCCCATTTTCTCCAAAGATGATGATGAACACATTAGCATCTGTGCCTGCTCCTGGGGATGCACAAGGCAAAGCTCTGGGAACCAATCTCTCCCACACAAAGCCCTCTGTTCTGGCCTTGTTCCTAGACTCCTTAGATTGCTGGGCATAAGGGGACAGAGTCTAGAGTTGATGAGGCCGGTGGGGGTTAGGGTTAAAGTCAGAAAAGCCTGGAAGTGGCCTGGATCTCTTAGGTGTCCAATTCTATCCCTCACCTTCTCTTCGCATGTTGCAAATACTGTTGGTCTAACTTCAGTCATAGCTACAATGAATGCTTAGTATAAAAATGTATCTGTTTCTGGGGAAATGCTTTAAAACGTATAAGGCATGCCATGCGGATTGGCTTTACAGTTTAAATACAGGCTACCACCAGTACAGGGTAGGGTCAGAAGGAGTCAGAAAAGTTCTGTACTCCCCAATTTACCTCTGATTGACATTTCAACAGAGTTTCATATCCTCTATTTAAGCCAAATGGAGGTGTTGGGCCCAGTTAAGAAGCCAGGGCTCCTAGACGGGTGCCTATGAAGCTGCTGCTACCAGAGAACTTAGTTGTTTTCTGAGAGCACATCGTGAAGGAATGAGCAGGGGTCTTCAAGGCACGTGAACACTAGGAACTCAAACAATAAAGAGGAAGGCTCCACTGTGGGGAAAAAATGGAGATGGAATGTGCTAGAAATAAATGCTACCAGGTTTCCTGACCCATCTCTTATGCCCAAGAGATTCTACTATGAGAGCTTAATTTCTTAGGCAAACTGTTCTGTTAAATATGTAAGCTACAGCTGGGTATGGTGGCACACGCTTTTAATCTCAGCACTCAGGAGGCAGAAGCAGGTAGATCTCTGTGAGATGGAGGCCAGCCTGGTCTACATAGAGCATTTCAAGCCAGCAGGGAGATCTTGTCCCAAAAAACAAAAAGCAAAAAGAAGAAACTTAAGATAGCATGACCAACGAGTCATCTATAGTCCGTGTGAATGAGTCTGCCAAATTCCTCACAATGGCCACTGAGGCCACTGAGGCTAGGGGAGGTAAGGCAGGAGGCACCGCTTCCTGGATAGAGGAAAGGTGTTCTCTCCCAGCTTCCATCCTCACAGAGCTTCTACTTGTAAGCCCTTCCTTACAAGAAGGGAATCCTATCTGCCCAATGGCTCTGTTTGTCTTTCTAAATTTGTCTTTGACATCCTTCTGAGATGTCCCCATGAGCCTCACCCCTGGTCCAGGTGGGCTAAGTCTCCCTGCTCTGGCTCCCTAGCAGGTATTTGTCAGGGTCTCACCCTACTTCACTGTGTTAGGTCTACCAGAATGCCAGGCCTATGGGAGCACCGAGGTCACAACTCTGACTGTGGACCCCAGGCCAGAGTCACACATAGGTGATTGAAGCACAGATGTGCCAAGGTACACAGTACTGGGATGAACTGCTGGGCTCCCAGCCAAGCATGGGCTGTGTCTCTGAAAATCTCCTCACTTCCACGAGGGGCAGGGAAGGAATCAGTTTGGTCACTGGGAAGAAATACTTTGTCGCTGCAGAAAGTGACCCAGTGTGGAGATGACTTAGCTTGACCAGCTTCAGAAGGCCATGGGAAGAAGAATAACCTGAGTGAAAGCCAATCTTGAGCCAAGATTTGAGGATGAAGGGCAAGGGGAAAGGGAAGCAGGGGGCCCTAACCTACCCAGGATGTCACTGGTCTTCACAGAAACTGTGTAGGATGTCCACTCCATCATCTCCTCCCCGTCGATCACAGCACACATCTCGCACACCAGCATCTTCTTACCCTTCCGTTGGGACAGCCAGTCCCCATAGTAGAACATGGTCAGATCGCCTGTGTTCATGTTCTTCAGCAGGATCTGGGAAGAGGCCATGTGGAAATGCCCTTCCTTGCACAAGCACACCCTACCCGAACTCCTACCCCAGGCTCCCTGATTTAGACTTGTGGGTGTGGAAAGGGCTCTGCCTACATGCTTTTGCGTAGGTTTGAAAGACCATGAGATTTGGGAATTGAAATTCATCTAAAAAGACTTTCAGAGTCATGCCTAGCATGGTACATAGGAAATGTTGGCTCAGCAAGTGGCAGAAAATCAGACCAACTAAGCCACTGTTAGCCACAGACACCTAGGAGCTGGGCACTGATATCTGCCAGGTTGGAATGGATGCTTAAGGAAGGTCTGCAGAGGCTACACAGGGGAGAAGGAGCAGAAGGAGAGGCAGGCAGATGGCCTTGGGTGGATGAGGAGTGGGGAGACTATTTCAGATTAACTACCAGAAAGATTTGTGTCATGAATTAAGCAGCGTCCCCCCAACCCCAAATGTGTATGTTGAAGTCCTAATCCTCAGTGTCTTAGGATGCAACCTTATTTAGAGTAGGGTTGGAATCCTACTGAAGCCACTGGGAGGGCTCTAAGCAAAATGGGATAGGAGAGATTACAGAGACTTGCACACTAGAAGAATGCTGTGTGACAACTGGCAGAGCTGGGGGAAGGCCCGGGGTGGGGGTGGGGGGGGGGACAGGCCAGATCCTATCCAGAGTCTTCAGTGAACATGTGGTCCTGCCCAGACCTTGAGTCCTGCTCTTCTGCCTCTGTGGTCTGGAGCTCTGTTGCGCAGCTTCACATTGCACAAGGAAGAGGCTTGACACCAGCACCACCATGTTGGAGAGCCTCAGTTAGGCCCATGTGACAGCGGAGTGTGATTACAGAACTGTTGTCCGTGTCATCAGTGCCACTGTCCTTGCTGTGACTGCAGGCCTGGGGGATGTGCTGCCCAGGCCTCCAGTTCTGGGGCCATGTGTAAGTTGGAAAGTACAGTGAGCCCTTCTGTCATATTCATTCCCATGAAAACAGTAAGCTGGCCTGTGTCCTGGGAGCCCACCTCTGCTTCCTAACAGTGAGTGCCAGTGACCCTTATCTAGGCAGCCTGGTGTCAGGACCCTTGGGGGAAGGTAAGCAAATGGTGTTGAGGAGGAAAAGCTGCCTTCTCTTGAGAGAAGCTGAGTCAGTGGCTATGTGTGGTGTGTGTCATGTGCTGGAGGGGGGTGATGGAGGCAAAGAAATCTCACACTGTTTTTGTTCTGTGAGGGTCTCACATCCCAGCCTAGGCTGCCCTCAGCCTACCTGAGAACCCAGGGAGAGACCCTAGCCAGGCTGCCCAGGTAGACTTGGGCTCCTCCCAGGAGAGAGGGCAGGGAACAAGAGCAGTCACCTCACAGTGTAATTGCAGGGACACGAGAAGCCCCACCATCCATCCTGTCTCTCGATACCCCAGCTCTCCTGGTCCTCTCCTAACCCTGCCACATTCTCTTCCCAGAGGATGCTCATCCTATATCTCACCCACCCCAGGCTCTGTTTAATTCTCTAATTTACATCCAAGTACATGATCTTGTTCATGGCCCTCTCCAGTGGCACTTCAAGAAGGTCACTTATAATCCAAGAGCAAGGAGGAGAGGTGGGTAGGGTTGACATGGAGGGCACCACCTTACCCTCTCCAGGAACCACTCTGGTCGGCTGCCCAGGCCATCAATGCGGATGCGCATCTTGGTAAAGGGGGCGATGTCCAGGATCTCCATGATGAATGTGTCATCCTGTTCCCGCTCAAATCTGGGGGTGGGGGTGGGGAGCAGGGCATGAAGGGACATTGGGAAGCTGGCCCTGGCTGCAGACAAGACTTGGGGTAAGGCGAGAAGGTGAGGCTTTTATCACTGTTTCAGGCAATGCCCACGTGGGCTCCTAAAAGACTGGGTTAATCAGGCTCAGCTGGTAGAAACAGCCCTGTGCACGAGCTACTAGTTCTGGGTTCTAATCTCATTTTCTAGTGGCCCAGCCTCCTTTCTGGGACCTTTAATCTGGGGAGAATAACACTAACCCTAAAATCTCCCAAATATGCCCTGGAAACCGAACAGAAGGGAAGTCAACTATACCTGAAAATTTTTAAGTGATATTCTTTAAAAATAGATTTATTTTAATTAGCTATTTATGTGTATGTGGGTATATGCCATGTGTGTGGAGGAGACCACAGGCCAGAAGAGAGTGTCAGATCCCCTGGAGTTACAGGCTCTTAGCCACCCAACTTGGGTGCTAGGATCTGAACCCAGGTCCTCTGGAAAAACAGGAAGCACTCTTAAATGCTGACCCATCTCTCTAGCCCCCTTTAAGTGACATCCTACAAATGGCAGGACCACCTGAATGGTGGGAGCAGGTTGTACACTGCCCAACTCTTGAAGGCACTGTTTCCATTTCTCTGTTCAATTGCACATCTGAACAGTGGCTCTGGATTGGGCAATACTCCTGGCAGCTGTGAAGTGACACCCAAATGGAAGGCAGTGTTGCTTTTGCTGCTGTTATTTTCCTGCCCAACAATCACATCATCTGAGGTGCTCTATCTTTAGTCCTTGCTGCTCTCTTCCCACGGGGCCACCTGTACAATGCAACCTTCAACATTGACTGGTTGCTTAGCTGCTGACTGATTCTAGATGGTACTGCTTGATGGCCCCTGGGATGGTGCAGGTGGCCCTGAAGAGGCATCTCCAAATGGCAACTGTTACGCTTCCTTGGAATCAAGACACACCTTTAAAAACAGGCCACACCCAGTGGGGGTGAGACTTGGAGTGTGGCAAGGTGAGAGGGAAGTCTTCCTTGTCTTGGAGGCAGTATTAGGATGCAGGCTGCGTCTCCTAACTTATTCACATTCATAATCCTTAGAGTTCTCCAGAGCTAGGGAGTTTAGCTGAGGAGAGAGTTGTGAGTGACAGTTGAGAAAACAGCATCTGACAACAGGAGCACCCACAATGCCTCTCTGTGTGTGTGTGTGTGTGTGTGTGTGTGTGTGTGTGTGTGTGTACATGCATGAGTGTGCTGACCATCTTGGGCACACAGATTTTCTTGAGGGAAGGTATCTCCTTGCATAGTCCCATATATGGCCGTGACACACACCCAGTGGGCTTTCTATCCAAGTTGACCATCAACACACAGACATCCCCGACAAGGCCTCCCATGCAGGGGTATAACACCTGCCAGGACCAGGTGCAGTTAAGCAAAGTGTGGCTCAAGGCAGAGCCTGCAACCAGACCAGCTAAGAAATGCAGGGTCCCTTCACAACACTGACTTCACCCAGAAAGAGAAAACCTTTTTGCTAGCAGGCCCTGAAGCTCTTATACTGTGGTCATGTTTATGACAGGGTTGCAAACCAGTGTTGGAATTTATTCCTAGACAGGACCTTGCCCACTTCCATTTTTCCTTCTTCTCTCCCATAAGCAATTAGGTTTTGGACAGCTGCAAATCAGGTGGAACAGAAGAGTGAGAGAGCAAGCCAGAGAAAACCTGGGAGCTTGGAGTAGGATGGGGCTTAGCACTGGAATAGAGACAGGAGATTGACAGGGACTGAACACACTAAGAGGCCATGACCAGACTATGCCTAAAAATCAAGCTCTAAGCCACAGCCTCTTTGGCACTTGGCTTAAGATGGCCAAGACTTGATCATTAACTACCAGCTTCCCTATTTGGTTCCTGGTCCTACCTCAGGACCACTGAGGGAAACACAAACCTGCTCTTTAATTCAGTCACAGGGGATGCCCAATTCTTCTTAGCATGCCTCACAATGTACAAATAACTTACTATACAACATTCTACTCTATCATACCTAGGGATGGTGGCTGACTTTTGTTAATAGTGATCTTTGAATAAACAGGCTCTCTTCTCATCAGAGCTTCATTTATTCCCACAGCTTCCTGAGTTCAAATCCCAGTTCCCCCACTGACCTTCAGCTGTTTGCTTCATCTCTCTGTGTTTCAGGATCACACTGTAGATGGGAAGTGCTAACAGTGCAAACTAGACAGAGTGCTGAAATTTAAAACACATGGCAAGCACTTTCGGTGGGACTTGGCATGTAGTGGGTACTCAATAATAGCTGTTCTTATGATTGTCATGACTGGAGCTGCATAGTAGGAGGATGGAAATGCTGAGAGAGGGCAGGCAAAACTTCCTATCATAGCCCTGGATGAGCTTCTCTATCCCTGGGAAGAAATCCCTGCCTGGTCCCCAGAGGTTCAGTAGCCTTGTGCCCATCAGCACCTCTACCACTCCCATCATCCTCATCCTCAGCCACCATTTTTATTTTTAAATTTTATTATTTATATTTTATTTTATGTGTATGAGTGTATTACCTGCATGTATGTGAGTGCACCCATGTCATTCAGTACCCGAGGAGGTCAGAAGAGGGTGCAGAACTGGAGTTATAGATAGTTGTTAGCTGCCATGTGGGTGCTGGGAATTGAACCTGGGTCCTCTGCAAGAGCAGCTAGTGCTCTTAACCATTTAGCCATCTCTCTAGTCCTGTTATCCACCATTTTTGAATGTTTTGATAATTGATCCTCTTTTATTTTGTAATCATTTTTGATGCAGAAAAGTTGCAAAAATAGAAAAGTTTCTATGTACTCCTGTTATCCACCATTTTTGAATGTTTTGATAATTGATCCTCTTTTATTTTATAATCATTTTTGATGCAGAAAAGTTGCAAAAATAGAAAAGTTTCTATGTACCCTTCACCCGACTCCCCCCACTGTTGACACCTCACATTGCCACAGTGTGACGAGCAAAGCCAGGAAATGAACTGATGGGAGTGGGAGAGGTGAGAGCAAAGTCAGGAAATGAACAACGCAGCCCTGCCGACTCATACAGACTAGATGAAGGAAAGAAGGAATGAGTTGCTCTGGGCTGCCATAGTCAAGAAAGGCTTCCTGGAGGATGGATACCTAAGCTGGCTCTTGAAAGAGAAAAGTGCTGGAAAAGAGTGAACCAAGATGCAGCAGCTGGGAAAGTTATGGTGTGCAGCCAGTGGGACAGAGTCGGGTAGAGGGTGGGTATGAGGAGGGTGTGGAGTCCAGCCCCCTCCGGGTACCTGGCTTTCTTTTTGTCCAGTTGCACCTCTTCTGTGCTCCCATTGATACCATAGAGAGTCATAAAGATGTTGGAGTCTGTGCCCCCACCGACCACATCACCAGTCCACACTGTCATTTCATAAAGCACCTGCCGAGAGAGATGTGCCTGAACCTCAACCCACCAACCCACCTCAGTCTCTCCATGGAGCAATGACATGCTCTCCAAGCTCTGCAGCTCTGAAAAGGGCCCAGCCTAGTCCACTGTGCATGTCTGGGGAAGCAGAGCCAGAATAGGCCCTCTCAGGCCCCCCAGCACTTGCCCAGCTATTGGGGGTTCTGACAGGTGTTGCACACAATGGCACTCACCAATTATTTGTCAGCCCATCCAGGTAAGTGTGTGTGGTGGCAGGACAATGACCTTGGAAGCTCCACCTAAATCCAGGTCTGCCCTCTGCCAGCTTTTGATGTTGGACAAATGCCCCCAACCCCTGCTCCCACTATAGGGAGACATTCAGCTCTCCTTGCAGAGTCATAAAACACACAAAGGGTTCTAGTCAGATTGGTGCTGGCACTGGGCCTGCCACATGTATGGCCTGAGGACCGTTCTGAGTGCCCTCAACTTCCCACCACAGCCAGCTCACCCCTGAAGTCTGTGAGCAAAGAGTGCCTCCAAGGTGACATTTAAGAGTTTTGCCTTAAGCCACTTGTGAAGTAGGGTGATTACCCTGTTCACTCAACTTTCACCTTAGATTAGGACTTTGCCTTTTTTGCCAAAGCCTTGCTCCCAAAAGGTCCAATTCCATTTATCTGTGTCCCTGGAGGGAGGGGAGAGCTCAGTTTTTCTGAGCACCTGCCCTGAGGCCCTTTCCAGGCTGCTCCTGAGAGGTGGCCTCAGGCACAGCTGTCACCATATGCAGCCTCCTGGACTAACAAGTAGCCCTGAAGTTTCAGGAGAGGCAGAGGAAGGGACCCTCTCCTTCTCCACACGTGTCACTTTCTGTCTTACTTAGGCAGCTACCCAAGTCCACACAACCCTTCTTAAAGCCTTGGATCCTGACCCTGTACTATGTGTGACTGTGGTCACATGCTGACCACTATGCTAGATAGGTGTTTTTCGGCATCATCTAATTCTCTTGGCATGATAGGGTCAGGAGTAGCATGTGTGGGCCTGGATCACAGGAAAGCACAGGACATGACTGTGGAGATGGGACAAGTGGGGGGCAGGGCAGTTACTGGGAAGAAGCGGGAAGCTGGATCTTTTTTGCTTTTATCTAAACAGGCATGAAGAATAGAATGGAAAAAACAAGGGCCTTGTTGGCCTAGGGGACACCAACCTCTGAGGACTGGCCCTTCCGGCCCCTGGTTCTCTGTGCCCATCGTTCCCTCGGTTTACAGACTTGTGTCTCTTTATGTAATCAGTGTGTTTCCAAAAAGACATAGAAGCAGGGCTCCTGTAATTCTGCGGTTATCTGGTGTCCTGGAGAGAGGCCAATCCAAAAGGCCCTGCAGTTCTTTGTACAGTGGCAAGCCTGTGTTCTTTGCTCTGTGAATAGCGAGATGTGGCTCTGGATTTTCCTGAGCTGAGTTGGGGAGGAGGTGCAGCTGCCCTGTGTGGGGTGTGGTATGTGCTGGGGGTGGTGCGCAGACACACACAGGCTGGGAAGTAGGTCAGGACGGAGGCCCCAGATGAGTGGCAGGCTCACCCACACTACCCATCTGACTGCAGATGGAGATGTCTATGAAGGGGGAGAAAATGCCACAGAAAGTTCTACCCTTCCTTCCTGCTGGGGAGGGGCAGGCACCTGTGCAACTTCCTGTGGAGGATCTTGGGGTGTGGAGTACAGCCCCTCCTTATGCTCCCATCACAGAACCTGCAGGCCTGCTCCATCAGTCCTGACTTTGTGGGCCTCCTGATTGAACAGGGAAGCCTGTGGCTGTGCTTTAGACAGGAAGGAGGGATGGGCTGTTGCAGGTGCCACGGCTCATAAGAGAGAAAGATAATCATAGGGTCAAGTCAGACTCTGGGCCACCAACTAGCTGTATGTTCTTGGGCTACCCAGGCATCCTGCCTCCTGCCTGGTCCCAACCTGTGAGGTTTCACAACTTGTCCCAGCTCATTTGACCAGTTAGATGGAATGCAAACTTTCTAGGCTTTTCTAGCTAAAATTGGTCTCAGGTGGATAGCACTACTGTACTATGAGATCCAGAGGCCTCCAGTCTCCAGTGTCCTCTGCCCCCTTGTTATGCTATTGGTGTGGAGGGTAACGGCCCTGCACACCTGGACAGAGCTGATATCTTCCAAAGCTCTTTAGGGACTGTTTGTGATCTCATGACTTCTGGTCAAGATTGAGTACCAAACAGGTCATGAAGGGAAACGCTATTTGTATGTGGTATATAAAAAGACCAAGGCCCAGAAAGACCACATGACTTTCCCAAGGTCACACAGCAGCACACTGCAGACATGCATACCTTTACTCCAATGTTCACTACCATGGCATCCAGGAGGTCAAAGACACGGGAGGTGACACCATCGCCCCTGTCCTTAGCAAGCCAGCAGTTGCAGCGTAATGTGTACTTGGTGCCCTGGGTGGGCACTGCCAAGCACAGCTCTTCCACAAGCCAGCAGCTCTCAGGGGAGGCCCCATCATGGCCCAGCTGTGAGGCATACGATTCCTGTGAGGATCTGGACATAGGTAAGTAAAAGATCTTCCCTGCTTAGTGTCCCCTCCCTGGGGACATGCCTGGTACTCACTGGCCAGAGGTCCTCCCATGAAGGAGAGATTTTACAGGGTGAATGAAGTTCTTTCAGTCAATCAAAACCTGATTCTGGGTGGGCCTGACCTCATCAGATGAGCCATTTAAAAGAGGAAGGGAAACCAGAGAGGCTTGAAGCAGGAAAGTTTGTCTCCTCCTGGCCTGGATCAAGGACCCTGACAGGTTTTGGAGAGTTCTGCAGGGCAGGGAATGGAGGAAACTGAAGGTCTCAGTCCTACAACACCAAGAGAATGGATCTGGCCAACGACTAGTGGGAAGATGACCTAAGCCTCAGAAAAAGACTGTAGCCCTGGTTACATCTTGTTTCTATCTCAGAAGGCCTGAGAAATGGCTCCACCTAAGTCTCAGCCAGATTCCTGACCCATTGATCATATACCACAGTTGTTTTCAGTAACTGATTTGGTGGTAACTTGCTGGGTTACAGTAAGAAAATGAGAACACGAAACATCTCCATTGAATGAGCAGAAAATGGGGATTCCAAGGTCTCCCAGCTCACTAATGGTGGAGGCTGGAGGTCTTCCTCTGCCTCTTACTCTGAGAGGCTCCAGGCCGTTGCTTTGCTTGCCCTCAGCTCCCCACCCCCATGAACTGGCCAATTCCTTCCCTCCCCAGGGGTGGTCATCATCATGGGGACCCAGGGCCAGTACCTCTATTTTCTTGATGACGCCCACATCCAAGCCTCCAACATAGAACTCCTCCACAGAGCCACAACTGAAGCCCCGCTTCCCTTGGGGGTAGTCCAGCCAGATACGGTTACTGCGCTCATCGTCCTCACCAATAAGCAAGACAAAGGCTCGGCTATCAGTGGCCGCATCCTTGTGCTTCCCAGTGGTCACAGACACATAGTAGGGGATCACTGCAAGAGATCATGGGAGACTAGCCTCACAGGAGGTCAGGTAGACCAAAGCACTGTCCCATGGGCTTGGGAACTTGAAAAGATCACAGGAGGGTACTGACCTCCATTTCCTGCTCAGAGACCAAGTACAACAAAACCTTCTGGGTAGGCAGCAAGCTCATGGTGGTGCATATCTGCTCCCCAGGGGTGAGCGAGTCAGTAATGCTTAACATCAAGGCCCAAGAAAGTGTCCTTGTGACTTGTTTGGCGTGTCAAACTTCTGAAAGCCCCATGGACCTTTATCTTACTTGAGCCTTGCCCTACCAAACCAGGTAAGATAAGAACAATAACATCCCACTAAGTCTGGGGGTTTATAAGCCTGAAATGCTAACCAATGTTAGCAAAAGAAGGTCTCATAGAAAATGGAAATTTAGGGAAGAATAACTGAAATGCATTATAGCTGTAACATGACTGAAGGAAGTCTCCATGTCCAGTCCAAACCAGATTAGTTTGGTCAGCATACAAACTTGTTCAAGTCATAAAATTCAGATTCTAGATACTTCCTCAGGATTCATTCTGCAGCTGGAGCAGTCTTAATTTAGAAGCAGCTGTTGCTGGGTGGGTTTCTGGGATAATTTTCTTAAGGGTTTGACTATCCCAGAAAAGAGTGCCTTTTTACCTCTTACCCTTCTATTCATTCTGCTTGACATGTGGATGTGATGACTGGCACCTCAACTCTCCCCTTAGAATAATGGACAGCCTTTAGGATAGAGGTCTTTTATAATTTGCCAGAGCAAGAGGTTGCAGGAACCTAGCTCCCTGGCTTCCCTAGAGCTGCTGAATTAGCTTTATATAGCTTACCTTTGAATTTTTATGCAAGAAAAAAAACTCTGAAGTTGTTTTAGGTCACTATCTCCAAGTCTGCTGTTTGCAGTTAAGAATCAAGAATCTAGACTCTTTCTCCTGGCCCATCATTTCAGGAGGCAAGAGATACTGCCCTGCTGCAGTATACCCAAGTTATGACATCTGGATCTATCTGAAAGCTGTCCAGAGCTGCCCTCCTTGACTGGAGTCATGAACACACACCTTGCTTATTGCTCCCTGGTGGTCCCCTGGCCTCTCCACAGGTGATCACAGCACTTCATTAAGGACAGCCACTTTGTGGTTCCTGTCATTTTTCATACAATGAGAAGGTAGGGTGTGGATACAGTGTTAATCTCTACCTGATCCCATAAACACATGCTGCGCTCCTGAGAGGGGGACGTCATTGTGCTGGTCACACTCTTAGGCATAAGAAGAAGGCAGAACATCTAAACATTTAAATAACAGATATAGAATCATCTTGTCACAAAAATCTAGTCTGTGAACTGAATTTTCTGAAGAATTAGGATACTGTTTTATGGTGAAAAAAACATGGGGGCCAAGGGACTGGGTTATCCAAAGACGGTTTTATTGTCACAACTAGAAATAGATTTTGAGTCCCTGAACACTTGGGGCTTCGTGCCCAGACCCCAGCATACACTACATCAAACTTGGGGGCTGAGTGCTTTGTGCACTGTACTGTTGACATGCAAGGGATTCCCACCAGTGCTTCTCTCTGCCGGGTTGTCACAGGAACCCTGGCCAGAATTCAAGCTCTGAGAGTCTTGTGAAAGCAGAGTTTAGGAGCATACCCTTCTGGGAGGAACCAGTATATAAAGGACACCATCACCCTAACATCTATCCATTGCATCATCTGTGGGCCTTCTCTCAGCCTGCTCACCTCACAGGGCTGCTGTACATGGGAAAACTGTAAATATAAGTAGTAGACGCACTCAGTAGACAACTCATAGCTTAAAGCCATTTCCCTGTGGCTATTCGTCCTCTGAAGAGCTCCCTGCTCTGCCTACCTGGGCCGTCCTGAACATAGTCAGCCATGGGCCCTGTTACTGTGTTGATGTCCACATCAGCCATCTTGGAACTCAAGGCTATCTCCCAGAAGTCAGCAGGGCTGCTGCAGTTGCTGCTGCGGTCTCCAGTGTATTCCTGTAAGAAAACCACAACCCTGGGCCCATTACAGCTCTGGCACCATCTACTCCGAGGATCTTCCCTGGGCATAAAGATGAAAACAGGCCACGCCTGCAGCGAGGTCCCAGTGCCTCTCACGGTACCTTCTCATAAAACAGCCTCTCCAGCCGCCCATCCTCCTTCTTCAGGGATAGCCAGCGCCCACACAGAAACAGGAACTCATCCTCGTTGGTGTCATTCCATATCTCCACCTTCTCCACATACCAGTCTGCACACCACTTGGTGTTGTCATGGCGGAGCTTGATCTTGTAGATGACACCCAGGTCTGCAGCCTCAATGATGAAGGTGTCGGCCTGGGGAGTCCAGGTATGGGGACTTGGATGGGGGAATACCCTGCTTCCACCCCCTCCAATCCTATCCTCCTAAATTATTGGGCCAAGAAGACCTTCCTAGATGGTGGGGGCTGAGGGTCCTCTTTAGACCCCAAACCATAAGATCAATGTTTAATGTCCAAGTTCAAGGTTCACTTCCTCACCAGCCCCATTATACAGTCCACTCATGTGTTCAACTCCTTGGAGAAAACTGCCTTTGCCCAGGTTTCTTTTGAGATGAGTCTGTGGGTATTTGGAAGGAAGCATCCAAAGACCAGTATGAGTCGGAAGAGACCTGAAGGCCGTGACAGTGATAGATGAGGGGTTCTTAGCCCAGTTCTATTAATCAGAAGCACCAGAAACTGACTACCTTCATTAGAGTGAAACTGAGCATACCCCAAGACACAGCAATGCCATTCCTTGCCTCTGTTTTAAAGGAAGATCTTAATATGTATACAAGGATGCATGCAGCAGGGCTTTTACCATGGGAAATCAGAAGTCACTGGGGGGTCTCACCCCTTGGGGAACAGCTGAGGAACTCCACGGCCTTCCCTGTGGAGTGGATGTGTATGATGGTTACCAAGAAGAGTCAGCCTCATACCCACTTGAATACTCTTGGCACTGAAAGATTTCCATGGAATCCCGTTGAATGACAAAAGCACAGATGCACAGTATTTATACAGTACCCTGCCTTTTATGTAAAAAAGGGAAACCATAGAGCAGCACCACTGCATGTAGAATCTACGGAGCGCAGACATGCATGCAGAGAAAATATGTGGGAAGGTACAGAGGCAGGAGAAAGTGGGGGCACTTTGGGAAATGTACTCAGTGGTCTGCTGGGAACATTCTAGGTGGGCTATGCAGGGCGAGTCCCGAAAGTCTGCAAATAACCGTGGTAGATTTAGGTGATATCCTTGAATACTTGAAGCAAGGGAGTGGCTCTATTGGCGTTGGATGGGTTGACTGGATGAGTTGATGGGGTCTAGGGTTGCGGAGAGCAGGTGAGTTTGATACAGAGGCAGACGAGGAGGGCTGAATGGTAACTGAGCTGACTCAGCTGATCTGAGGATACTTGTGGGGAGGCTCTCTGGGATGAGGCAGCTGATTGAATGTGGGCAGGAAGAGGGCGATGATAGAAAAGGAGGGTGGTGTGAAGAATGAGTGTGTCCTGGCTCCCAGAGCAAGTGGCTAGAGAAATAGAAACTTTAAGATGCTCAGCAGTGAACTTAAGATCACGCAAATAGTAAGTGAGCCAGAGGTAGCTTCATCTCTCTTTGTGGGGCACTAAAACCAGAAGAGCTGGGCATGGTGGCTCACGTCTGTAATCCCAGTACTTGGGAAGCTGAGGCAGGAGGACTGTCATGAGTTCTGAGTTAGTTTGGACTACAGAGTGAGACCCTGTCTCAAAACCCCTAACAAAATAAAATGAAAAAAAAAAACAAAAATTCAAAACAACAACAAAAAACAGGAGGAGACAGTGATGAAGGATGAGCAGACTTAAGATGTAGCAGTTGCTGAGAGACAGAGCTGAATCTGGACCTAGAAAGCCGATCACATCATTATTATTTATATTTTTATTCACTTATCTCTAAACACATATTTATTGAGCACATATTCTTTTCCAGACTCTGTTATGAACAAAAGTCTATCAGGTGCATGTGGCACACTGCTGTTATACCAGTATGTTTACCAGGTGCCAACAGCAGGCATCCAGGTGTGGTCAGGGGAGCACTTAACAATGCCATAAGAATGGCCAGCATGGGGAGCCACTGGGTACTGGCACTTCATGTGAGTGTGTGAGTGTGTGTGTGTAAGTGTGAGAGAATGTGAGTGTGAATGTGTGACAGCGTATATAAGTGTTTATGTATGAGCATAAGTGTGTGTGAGTATATACATGTATGTAAGTGTGTGAGTATGTGTGAGTGTTTATGTGAGTATAAGTGTGTGTATGAGGGCATGGGAGTGTGAGGGTATAATGATCTTCCTGTGGTAGGCAGTATGCTTCTATCTCTTTCTCGGTTCAGAGGCTGAATTGGCAATTTTCTTACTATTCCCACTTTGGAAGCAGGAAGTTGAAGTTAAAGGCAGATGGTATCTATCTAGATGATGGGTAAGTAAATGGGACCACTCAGACCTGCCTTCCAGGACCCAGCAGCCAGGCTGGGGCTCCTTCCACAAGCCTGGCACTTATAGGACACCCAGGGCTACTGTCCCAGGGCTAATCTCCTCCTCATCAGTACAAGTGGTTCAATACAAAGGGGCCTGCTGGCTGAGAGTCAGACTCAGGACACAAACAAGTGGTCAAGAACCAGACTACAGCTAGACTAGGAGCCAGTTCCCTGACTGTTCTCCTTGGAGATCACCTGGCATGTGGGGTTTCAGGGAGATTTAGGCACATAGAGAAGAAGGAAAAGAACTGAGGGGCAAGTGAAGGGCGAGGCAGAAAGGGCACAGGGAGGGGAGAGAGCTGAAGTGGTAGGGGGAAGCGAGCTGGTGGGAAGGGAAGTTTGGATGCATTTGCCCTTTTGGTGAATCACAGCACATCAGAGGTGGAAGAGCCACAAATACTGGTCACATGGTTTTCAAGGCTTTCATAGCCATAGAATCTTTTGTTTAATAGAGAACATGCTTGACCCTCAATAGACAGGCCAGGTCAAGGTGAGTCCACCGGGATGATAGCAAAGGGCCCTTTTCTTTCCCAGTATCACCCAGGGCTCTATACAACATGATTTAGCCAATTCATATCTAATTCTTCATGCTGCAGTCAGGGAGACTGAGGTCAGCAAGGTTGAACCAGACAAGGCGCTGAAGGCAGAGTTAGGCCTCCAAAAAATCAAGTCTCTGGCGGGCCAGCTTCCACCTCTCTATAGCCTCCTCCTCCATCTGCATGAACCACTTACAATGAACTGGCTTCCTGGGAAGGCCATTTCCATGTAGAGAGAGCCTGGAGCTGAAATCCACCTTCTACTCCACCCCACCCATATGCAGAACCCAGAGGAGTTTGTTGGCTGCAAAAGGGGGATAGTCTATGCTTTAGGGGAAGGGCAAAAGTCCAAAGGAGGATGCATGACACCCCACAGTTCCAAGACAGCTTCACAACCTGAAGAGCTGGCCGGACGATGGGCCCAGGGAGGGGAAAGGCGGAAGAAATCCAATATGCCCTTCCTACCGTTCCTCTCTCAAACTTGTTGGTACGGTTCTCTGACTTGCCAAGGTACCGCTCCCCAGTATCCCCGAGGTCTCCGTAGATGGTGATGTAGACTTTGGCATCCGTCCCTGCTCCAGGAACATTTCCTGTGAAGATCTGCACCGAGTATAGCACAACTGGGCATGAGGTTGGATGGACAGACAGACAGAGGGAAGAGAATGGTAACAGCACATTAGCTCTAGGGAGCGGGACTTGTAGGTGTATGAAGGTTTGGTCCAGGCCTGTTACATAGACTTGTCCTCTGACTGGCAAGCTAGATGCCTCCTTCCCAAGGTTGGTTGTACCTGCTTTCCCAGAAAGAATTTTAACAAGGTCCCAGGCGGCAGCATCCTCCTTTCCCAGGCTTGGCTATGCATGGTTGGCTACGTGCTGCATGGAGTCTCTAGTAGGGAGACCTCCATCTGATCTGGGCTCAGGAGGCTCTCAGAGAACCAAGGTGAAAGTTTTTGGAGTGTCCTTCAATCTACCAACCCATACAGATCCAAAGAGACTGCCTTAAGGTTCCTCACTGCGGCCACTAAATCTTCCTATTTTGTAACACACTGACAATATGAAGCTTTCCCATCTGATTAGTGTTGATCCTGATCTGTCTAACAGGGTTGAGGGTATGTGCAGTATTTTTCAAAGACTAGTCACCCTTCCTTATTTTTATTTACTCTTTAGCCCACTGGTACTCCTCACTTTGCCCCAGCACTCCAGGAAAACTCCTCTACTTAAAGCCACAGTGGCTGATGCCCTCTCCTTTGTCTCTTTGACCCCTGGGAAAAGGCTCAATACATATCAGCATGACTATTGGTTTTGTTCTGCTGCTGTGGGTTCAGCAAGGAAGATTAGAACAACTGCTTCCCAGCTCTGTAACAAGCGAGATTATTTGTGCTTTTATTGGTGCTAGGAAGGCTTTGTTCCCCTCTCTGTATCCCTCTGTCCTGGGAGACTTGGGGTTTCAAGTCAAGGATCACAAGACTTGGCTGGGTTGTTCACATGGGAGCAGTATAGGGAAGATGCTTTGAGTGTAGTGGTGGGTAACCAGGAAGAGGTAGGGTTCCTGCAGTAGTGTTTCTGGTCACTCTGAGAAATGGTCCTGAGTGTTGGTATAGAATCAGAGTGACAACGGCAGTGCATGATAGGGCAACATGGTAGGTAGCCTAAACTGAGGGCCTTTCCTGTGAACCTAGGAGACCTTATAAGACCCTAGAAAAAGGTTCTATTCCCTACATTGAGGTAGGCTTTCTTACCAGACGCTGTTAATGGGCCCACAGCCACCTCTATCTCAGTTTGACAAATCAAGGTACCATGGGCAGCTTGCACCTACGGTCAAGGACATGTGTACCACACATCATGTTTCCTGGTGTACTCTGTACTCTTCCTTCCCCCTGGAGTCCATAGCAACATGCCTCTTTCTGCCTGTCTGAACACTCCTCCTTAAGGACCTTCTTGGTTTCTATCTTCTGCCCAGCCTGTGGACACTAAATGTCCCACCTACATCCCTCGACTCTCATTTTGCACAGCTTGGCTTTATTGTCTTTGAGTTCCCAAGTTTATATCTCTAGCTCAGGTCCCTCCTGTACTTTAGACCCACAACTGGTGGTCACCTCCACTGTGACTAGACTGCGGCATCACAAATTCACACAATCCAAATGGAACTCAGCCCCTCTGCACCCAATTTCTTCTCCAAACTCACTTCCACCTTCCCTCTCCCCATAGCCCTATGTCGCCAGCCCCTGGCACTCCAAATCTCCTTGTTGGTTTGTGAAACTTGATGGTCAGAGGCACATCCTTTGATGTTGGCAGGAGCCTGAGACCAATCCCACTTGCCCCTGCCCTGCTCTGCTCAGCTTAGTGCAGAACCAGCCATCACACAATGTACTGCGCTAACAGATTAAACTGTCTCTTTGTTGCTTAAAAAGCCAATGTTGCCCAAATCTGTTGGGCCAACACCAACATGAAGGAACATTAGGAATCCAGTCACAGCTTAGACACAACAGTCAGCTGTCTTATCTCACTATCCCCTCCATTTCTGGCTGCACTCAGTCCTGCTGCACACATAAAATCATCACAAGGTGGGTGGATCTGTTAGAACACTTTTTCTAGGAGCCCTTGTCCCAGAGTGGGATGCTCTGTGACTAATGGCCTTCCAACACCCCTACGCCACCCCTGCTGCTTTCTCTGGTCCTTTGGGACTTAGGAAAACTGATTCAGCTTCTGGATGCTGAGCAACATAGGTTTGCAGGATTCTCCCCCTCCTATCCCAGAGATTATTTCTTTAGAAACCTCACTAGGCTTCGATCAGGTTCTGTGGTGTGTGGTTTATATCGAATAGCCCAAGAGTGCTGTAGGGACAGTGGTCTAGGATATTCTCTGTAGTTCAAGTAGAAAAGGGACTCATACCCCTGACTAAATAGCCAAGGAAACTTGGGGAAAGGGCTGTGGATGGGGAGAAGCACGCTCTTGGGCAACATAGCTCAGATTAAAGGGATGCAGGAATTATTGCTGCTTTACTTCCAGGGGTGAAAAATGAAAACAAGTTTGTCACCTTTCGACTCTTATTAGCAGAAAAATCTGCTCCCTCCTACACCACCCCACCCCCGGCCTTGGGTTTTACTGGAATCTTGGGTTTTGAGTTTTTTTGAAAATGGCAACACCATGAATTTGGGCCAGATTTCGAAGTTCTTGTTGCTTCTATGGTCTGGGTATACTGCCCTGCTGAAGAGGCTCATGGGAATCTTTTTATCATCAGTGGCAGAAACTTTTGCAGATGAAATTGAGTTTTGAAATAACTAAAGCTTATTCAGAGCTAAACAGCAGGTGGATAACATGAACAATACTATTCCTAGTCAAAACATAGGTGTCATTACCCATGTGGTATGGAAAGATGCATGTTTGTGTGTTTATGCACACGTATAGTACATCAAGAGGAGGAGGAAAAGAACAAGAAATGCACCTAGCACTCGGTACTTTTTAGATGGGTAGGAAGATAGCCAAAAATCCGATGGTGTCACTGAGAGCAAAAGAGAAGCACAAGATGTAGGTGGTGAGAATGATGCAAATCCTGCAGAGCAAAATCACATCCACAAAGAATGGGTAGTGGTAACTGGCTGGCTCAAACATACCCAAGACCTTGGACACCCAGAAGCTACACCCAGTCTCTCTCTCTCTCTCTCTCTCTCTCTCTCTCTCTCTCTCTCTCGTCCTTTTGCAGTGCCAGGCAAACCAAGGTAAGTACTCTCCCACTGAGCTATACCCCCAGTCCTACACTGTTTCTTAATTATTTTTGGAGCAATTGGATCCAGCAAGATCAGGAAGGGCTATACCAGACAGATGGGTAACCAAATGAACTGAACTGGCAAAAAGCCAGAAACATGGAAATCTGGGCAGTAGACAGCCTGTTTGGATGCCTTATACTGTAGAACTGAGAAAGGATTTGAGAACAAAGCTTGCAGTGAAATATTCAACTTGGACAAGCAATCTCTGTAAGTCTCAGTTGCCTAGTGATAACATAGGCCATCTTCCTGTGTGAGAAAGCTCAACCTAGCCCAAGAAAGGTGCTCCACAAGGAGGAGCTGTCGTCCTGGAGTCACCTGTGGTGATAAAGGCCACATCCCCACATACTTACTGTCCAGAGGCTCCTCCACTTCCTTGTACACTTGTCTTAAGGACCCGTCTTTCATGTACTTCTCGGTAAAGATGTCATAAGGGACCAGTTCTCTGATGGTTTTCTTGTCATCTTCAGAGGTGGCAAGCCATCGATCACATGGGAAAGTCAAGGTCTCTGTACCCTGGAGTGAGGAGGAAAGAGGAAAATTAGCCTCTAATGTGGAAACTCCCAACTGTAGTGATGCAGCTGCTAATACTCATTAGAACTCGGGGCAAAGATGATGGTGGGGCCTCACATTACAAAACCCTGGGGGGCCTACCTGTACAAGACCTAGTCTTGAAGGCTCATACAACCACATTAGGAGGAGCTAGCTCATGAAGTCTGAGCTTCCAGACTTGGTTAAAAATAAATATCTGAACCCTGTCCTAGAGATTCAGGGTTAGTGAGTAAAGGGGTCTGTGGTTTTAAATTCATTCCATGATTGGCAACTGTTTCCTAGTTGAGGAATTTTGCAGTTTCAAAATGTTTTCCAAGTTGTTCAGAGTGGATTTTCTTTTGGAGTTGACCCTGAGCAGAAGCAAAGACATGCTGGTCACTGGTCATGTGGCCTTGGGGCTTGGGGCAGAAACATAGCTACCTAAACTCTTCTCCTTGATGACTGAACCAGGCTCTAGAAGATTCTGCCTTGGACCTGAGCTAGTTCATGTGTTTTGAAGGTTGAAATAGCCAGCAAGCAAATCTGCCGTGAACCAGTTCTAGAAGAGGGCAGAAGGAACAGTGGGACAGACCCATCAGAAACTCACATCTTTATCTGGGAGGAGCCTGCGGATGTCCACGTGGGAACAGTGCCATCCCGGATTTATGCCAGTGTTGTTATGGCCAATCCGGATTTTTTCAATGATTTCGCCCACATCTTCTAACTTCAGAAAGGAGAAAAGGCACGTCATGTCAACAGAAGGCCTCAGCTACACTGAGCCTCCTTGGACCATCCATCCTTGGATTCCTTTGAACTTCTGAGGGTAACCCTACCCGGAAGTCTCCACTGACCAGCCAGGCTGAGTCTGGCCTCTGCACACCATGTGATAAAGCTTCCTTCTCCAGCCCTACTTAGTCGCTCTGTCTCTGGCACTAAGCTCACCCCACTGCTTTTGGAAGTGTCTTAGTTTTCACAGGGAATCACACCTCCCCTGTCTTCCATTACTTGATGCCATAGCAACTCATTCTCTGAGAGATGAACTGGGTCTCAGAAGAGGAATTCTGATCCACTTACGCTCCTGGCTTACTGGGCGGACCATGTTCAAATCCTCTGATCCTTAACCCCCTTCCCTGTCATCATTCCTTTTCTGGGCTCCCCCAAATTCCAGTCTCTCAAATTTTACATCTTCCCACAGGGCCTTTGCATATGCTCTACCTGCCCCTCACTTGTCTTCTTTCTTACTTAATCATGCCTGCCCAGTATCATTGTCGGGTCTTAGTTCAAAGATCACTTCCTCTTACCTCCTTAGGAAATCCCTTGGACTTCCCCCAAGAAGGTCAGATCTCTCCTGATGGGCTTTCACAGCTTGGCATAGCTACCCCTCAAGCACTTCCTGTAGTCATAAGTTTTGAGTTTGTTTTTTTAAAGGGGGCACACCACCCATCTCTTCCATGGCTTGATCATGCCCACTCCTCCATTGGAGGCCACAAGGGCTAGCTGCTAAGTGCATGCCCCAGTGAGGCCCGAGCTGGGCCTGGTGAAGATGCCATCTCTTTCTCCTACTTGGAGTCTCAGACTGGTGTGTAGAAGACAGGCTCCATCAGGACTGGCAGTCTCCCAGCCCTTCACAGCCCCTCTAAAGAGTCAGTGAGGTGGCCAGACACTGGGTAGGACCATCCATTCACACAGCACATGTCTACCAGTTCCCTCCCTCCTTCCCTCCTGACTGCTAATACCTTTCAAGTCCCGACTCCCTGAAGACTTGTGCCTCCCCAACCTCCTACCCCCGTTTATACATGTCACACTCTCCTCTGAAATGATACTGTCCATATCTATCCCCACCTTGCCTTGTCCATAAAAGAATCTGGGAAATAGCAGGATAAGAAGTAGATAAGAAAGTTGGAGCAGAAGGAGAAGAGCAAGGAGATGTCACGACATCTGGATGCCCCAGCTTGTGGTAGGTCCATGGAATTCCTACCATGAGGGCTAACAAGTGGAACTGCAGAGCAGTGGGGTGCCTATAGATTTGAGTTTCCCAGTAGCCCTCTGTGAAAGTAACTGCTGATCCTGCCCCATCAGCTCACAGGTGCCGCAAGGCATAGTTGGTCCTGGCATGAACAGAAAGCTCTTGATGAAAGATGTGTAGGTGATTGAGTCATTCACCAAACATGAAACTTCCATGGATGTTGACAGAAGTGGCCTGTGAGTAAACTGGAGCTGCCTCCAGCATGGGCTTCCTCCTGCTTTTACCCCACTGGCTCTTGGCAGTCAAGGGGGCCATCAACACTGCTTGGGGATGCCTCCCTCCCTCCCTTCCACCCTCATCCTTCCCATTCCAGCCTTGGCTCTGTCTCCGTGGCCTGTGTAATCTTAGGCAAGCCCTGCACTCTCCAAGGACTCAAGGTGCTCATCTGAAAATTGTTGGGAATGGTGTCTTTATCAGCCAAAGGCAGGTGCATGACTGGTGGAGCCCCTTGAGGTCATCTCTAGGTCAAAGATCACAGCATGGTTCTTTTTGTTATCTGTTCTTTAGTTCTAAGTGCCCAGTCAAGCACCACGCTACTGCGGATGCTGCAGCTGCCACAATCCCGTTTCCCTCCCCTGACACCCGACTGCCTGCCACCTGCTCTGGATCAGAGGACAGAATCCATGGCCACAACAGTCCTTGTAGGCCTTACAAGCTCTGAGGCTCTGAGCCACTAAACAAAGATGAGTACTTTCGGGCTGGCATAAGGGTAGCGGGCATTTTTTTTTTTTAACAGATTCTGTTCTTTCTTATCTGAGAAGCACAGATGCCCTAGGTGATATCTGTGGTCCACAGCATCACCACTGATGACTTCACTGCCTGAAATGACCAGGAGATGAACAGTTATCTGCCTCTTCCTCTGCCCAGGGGATTATTTCTCCTTTTCTGTCCCATGGCTTTGGGGTTTGAGACGTGTGGGCCTCTGGCTTCAATGGCATTTCTGTAATCTTAGCCTTCTCACCACTTAGTATATGTCCCAGTTGTGATTCACTAGAGAGTGAGGAGGCCTTCAGAGGACTACTAGTCAGGAGTGGTGGGCCTCACAGAAAGGTTCAGAGGACATGAGCATCAGAAGGGGATCCTGGCATTCTCCTAGAGGATGGGGTGAAAGCACTGGCCAAGAAGGCTCTAGAACTACTGACTATAGACCCTGGCTCCACTACATGATGTCACCTAGCAAATTGCTGACGTTTCTGGCTCTGGGTGTTTACCTGTGAGATGGGATTGTTCTGTTGCCTCTTGGAATATCCTCTTGGAAAGGTCATAAGGATTCAGTGAGTTGGTATGTATTGAGTGCTTAACAGGGCTGGCATGGTAGAAGTGCTCAGGCCTCCTAGCTCTCAGCATTCTTCTCCCAGTCAACCCCACAAGACTGGCCACACAGAGAGGGACTCACCTTTCAGTGCTCAACCCCTTACCTGGGGATCCATCAGAAAAGAGAAGTAGAGAAGTGGGGAACACAGGCAGGGGAGATAGAGGCTAGGAGGCAAAAGCCTTTACATATATTTCCAAGCTTTCACACTTCCCCAAGACCCAGATAATTGTGAAAGAAAAAAAAATAGCAGCAAATTAACTATCAAATTATAATTGTCTATTTGTGGGGACTCATTGACGAAAGTCCCCAGAAGTCCTGCTGAGGAATAACTTGGGCACTGACAGCATCATGCTCTGTGACTCATGCATCACATGCATCTTGGGTGGAGAGATGTTGCTTTGTGTAGATGAATGAATCAGCCCTAAATTTTCCTTGCTAAATACTCAGAAGAGGTGATAGACCTCCTACCAAGGTTGACTGCTCCCGGAGAGGGTGGGAAAGAGCAAGGTCCCTGGGCAGCAGATAGCTGAGGTCAAGGGCATGCTAGAGACTCTGTTTCCTACTAGAAAGTAAGGAAATGTCAACACTGGTCCCCACTACTATAGAGTTGAGACTCCCAAGGTTCTTGGCTCTTCTCCCAGGCTGGCTTCATTCCTACCCTCTACCTAAGTCCGATCTTCTTCCTCCTGTGCACCCTGGACAAATATCAAGCTCCATACTGTGCCTGTTTCTACCTCTGGACCACTGGGCATGTTGTTCCCCTCCCAGGAATGCCTCTCTTCCCTGTCCCAAGAATGCAAACTTTCATGCCCAGCTCTAAGCCATCTCCTCAAAGGTCTTTTCCTCCTCTGAACACCAGTAGCAAGCTCCACCCACTTGGGAGTCTACTGCAGTGGGTGAGAACATGCCAGTTCTCCTGGGTTTTGACTTTGTTTCCACTGTATGCCGGCTGTGTGCTGTGGGGGAAGCCACTAACTTTGCTGTGCCTCAATTTTTTCCTCTTTACCCAGGGAAAAGCACAGCACAGAATTACTATAAGGGTCTAGTAAATGAACACAGATAAATCCTGTGGTTATGGTGATCACTAGACTTTCCATCTTGTGTGGAGGTCTTGGCTCCCCAATTGTACTGCAAGACCCCTGCAGGCATAATCTGGGCTCTCTCCTTCTGTTGTGTCTCCTGCCCAAGCTAGCACACAGAAGAGAATCTAGGGTAGGCACAATGAGTTCGCACTGCAAGGAGGTATATGGGATTTCCAAGGTCCTGGGACCCACGTCCACAAGTAAACATCAGACAACAGAACCTCTTGGCCCAGACCTGATAGATACTGTGAAATATACAGCAAGTTTTGTATCATGCTGGCGATAGCCTGAAAGCCAAGCAGGACACCTAGTCCAACGTGACCCCTGGTAGTAAGATTTGCACTGCCTAGGGGCTCCAGCCTGCCGGGAAGCCCTACTGCACTCATGAATAAGGATGGTACAGGCATGGAGATACCCTGTGGGTATCATGCCTCTCATTTCCTCTGACTCCTGGCATTTATCATCACCTTTGCTCCTGAGGCTTGTTCTGGAAGGCCAGGTCAGCTTCATCACCCTCCTGCCTGACTGGACATATGGAGACCCACAGAGGCTGGACAAGCTGCTCATCTCCCACCAGCCACAACCCATCTAGATGAAGGATTGCTCTGACCCAGTCCCTCCATGGAAGCACACTGAGCCAGGTACCTCCACAATGAAGCGGGAAGCAGACTTCCTCTTAAAGAACAGCTTCTGTTCCCTCTTGTTGGTGCACAGGAACTTCTGCTGGGTGCACACGGCATCACAACCATAGATAATGATGAAGATGTTGGCATCAGTCCCAGCAGCAAAGACATCACTGGTGTAGAGGGTGATCTCATAAGGGACAACTGAGAGGGAAGGTCAGAAGGCAAGACCAGGGGAGAGAAAAGAACAGAAGACCACACAGTTGAGATAAGCTCTTCAACAGTACCAGTGACCTTTCATGGGGAGCTTCTCATGCCTCATGTCTACAGAAAGCCTTTGATCCTTCACACACCATGGATCTACTATAGCAGACTGGCTGAAGATATAGACTATGGAATTCAAAGGGTCCAGGTTCAATTTTAGGACCTAACTTGACTATCAGTGTGATTTGGGCAAGTTACTCATGAGCCTTAGTTTCTATTAAAGTTACCTCAACATGAGGTTTAGCAGGATTCCCTGTGACCAGAAAGTTTAGATTTCAGGGGCAATCACCAGTCAGGTCAGCCAGGCTGCAGTGGTGAGACACCATTCTCTTCTCAGCCTGTCACCTGCCCCTCATTTGTTCCAAGCTGGCCAGCCCTCCTGAACCTATCAATGTCACACCTGGCTCCTCATTCAGGTTCCTTGACTTTATAGACATCTCCTGTTGGGGAGTGGCCGGGAAGACATGAGAGATTCACTAGAGTTTATTTAGTAGCCCCAGGGACTATGTGTCCTTAAAGAGTTAGCACATTGGAGTTGAACTGCAACTGGCAGTTCTCGAGTGCAGCCACCAGTATGAAAAGTGGCCAGCATGTCTCCAAGGACCTTCCCACCAGGAGCTCTTAAGGGGCTTATTAAAATGAAGATTCCTAAACCCTCCTCAGATTGTCTACAGAGTGGGTCTAATTCACACTTCACACTGTGGTTTGAAGCCAGTCATCTAAAGCATGTAGTGTCAAGCTGTAGGCTGAGATTCATCAGTGGGTTGCGAGATGGGGTTACTAAGTGGTCAGTCGTATTCTGAACAGAAAATACCATTGTAGACGTTTGGCTGCTGCACCCACTGCGCTTTGACTCCTAGAGCCTCATTCACCCTTCCAGCTCCCCCACCCCATCTCCCCTCCTAGCAGGGGTACTGACACATTTCCTGTCTTGGCACCCCAGACCTCTGGACTGACCTCTTGGCCCAAACTCTCCACTGCTTCCTGATTTTCTGCATCCAGACCAAACCAATTCCTTCCTCTAGTCCCCACTTCCCTTTGCATCTCTGGGCAGCCCAGCCTCACAGCTTCCTGGAGCCAGCAGCTTGCCTGGGTAAGTTTGGCTGCATGCCCACTGCGCCTTGACTCCTCGAGCCTCATTCACCCTCCCAGCTCCCCGATCCCATCTCTCCTCCTAGCAGGGGGACTGGCACATTTCTTGTCTTGACACTCCAGACCTCTGGACTGACCACTTGGCCCAAACTCTCCACTGCTTCCTGATCCTTTGCATCCAGACCAACCCAATTCCTCCCTGTAGTTGCCAGGAGCCCTTGAGCCTCTTCTCACCCCCACCTCCCTTTGCATCTTTCCTGGGCCCTGCTCCCAGGATAGACCAGCCCTCAAATTCCTGAGGCCAGTATCTTTCCTGGCGGGATCTAGACCTTAGGAGAAAGCCTGAGAGCAGCTGATCCTCATCTGACTTGGGTCTCTGTGGGAACTGCTGAGCAGCAAGATGAAAGCAATTTGGCCACTCTAATATAAAATCAAAAGAGAGAACCTGAAGCCTAGACCAACCAGCTTTTCATGCCCAACAAGTAACCACAAAGGCACATAAAGATTACAAAAAGAAGAAGACCTAAACCCAACAAAGGAAGGCTTGAGTCCCACACAAGAACCAGAATCTACAAAAGAAATCCACATGTCAAAGTCACAGAAAAAAAATAACATGAAAAACCAAAATAATATCTCCCCACAAGTACAAACGGTCCTCTAGAGGAGTACAGTGAGAACCCCCTAGAGATAATGCAGGACATGGAACTCAAAAGAACAATTATAAACATGATAAAAGAATTCAGTGAATTTAAAGAACACACAAAGAAAGAAATCAAAGAACTGAAAGAAGATAGGGATAAACTTCTGAATGAATTCAGAAAAGAGAAATAGTGAAGAAGGCTCAGGCTGAAAATGAAGAAGGAAGCGAAACACTCAGTAAGCCAATTAGCAGTGACAGGAGAAAGCCTCATCAATAAGATGAATGAAATGGAAAACAGACTATTAAGACTGGAAAATTAAGTGGACTAATTAGACCACTCAAACAAAGATTATGAAAATGTTAAGATAACACCAGAATGGAATATGCAGGAATTGTGTGACACCATAAAAGACCAAACTTATGAATCATAGGCATACAGGAAGGAGAATCTCAGGATAATGGTATGGACCAGATCTTCAACAGGATTATAGAAGAAAATTTCCCAAAATTAAAGAAAGACATGCCCATACAAATACAAGAAGCATATAGACCACCTAATAGACAGGACCAGAAAAGAAACTCTCCACAGCACATCATAGTAAAAACACTAAATGTACAGAACAAAGAGACAATACTGAAAGATGCAAAAGAAAAACAAGTCACACACAAAGGAAAACCCATCAGAATTAGAGCTGATATTTCAGTGTAAATTATGAAAGACAGAAGAGCCTGGACCAAAGTATTCCCAGTTCAAAATGACCACAGATGCCAATTCAGGTTACTTTACCCAGCTAAAATGTCTATTATAGTCAAAGGTGAAAGAAAATCTTCCATGGTAAAAATAGGCTGAAAGAATTCATGTCCACAAAACCAAACCTTCAGAGAGTTCTTGAAGCAATACAAAGAGCTGAAGAAAGGAATGACTATACCCAAGGGGTTACAGAAAGGAGTTTAATGAAGGTATAACTATGGAAATGCACAGCTATACCAAGAATGTAAACAGAAATAGAAACGACAGGAATCAACACACATCTTTCATTAATAACTTTAAATATCAATGGACTGAACTCCCCAGTCGAAAGACACAGACTAGTTGAATGGATTAAGAAACAAAACCCATCTTCTTGTTGTCTGCAAGAACTCATCTCACTTTCAAGGACAGGCGCTACCTTAAGGTGAAAGGATGGAAAAATTATACCAAGCGAATGGTAATAAGAAAAAAAGCAGTGTTGCAATTCTAATATCTGACAAAATAGACTTAAACTAAAACTAATCAGAAGAGATAAAGAGGGCCACTTCATTCTGATCAAAGGAACAATTGACCAAGAAGATATTACAATCATGAACATATATTCACCAAACTCTGGTGCACCCAAATTCATAAAATCAGTACTATGGGACCTTAAGAACCAGATTAATGCCAACTCATTAATAGTAGGGAACTTCAATGCCCCATTACCTCCATTAGATAGGTCAACAGGACATAGAATTAATAGAGAGACATCTAAATTAAACAATACCATACATCAAATGGGCCTAACAGACATCTACCAAATATTCCACGCAAGCACCAAAGCTCCAAGGAACTTTCTCCAAAACTGACCATATACTGGGGCACAAAACAAACCTCAACAAATACAAAAAGATTGAATTAATTCCATGCATTCTATCAGACCACAATGCAATAAAGCGTAAAATCAACACTGGAAAAAACCCTAGTAACTAGATGAACACATGGAGATTAAACAACACACTCCTGAATGATGAATGGGTCATAGGAGAAATTAAGAAAGAATTAAAAGTATTCCTAGAACTAAATTAAAAGGACAATACAACACAACAAAACCTCTGGGACACGCTGAAAGAAGTCCTTAGAGGGAAGTTTATAGCTCTAAGCACCTACATCAAAAAATCGGAAAGAACACAAATAAATGACTTAACACTGCAACTCAACACACTTGAAAAGCAACAGCAAACAAAACCCAAACCCTGCAGACAAGAAGA